TCCCACTGTATTAGCACTTTCCAAAGGTCTCAAAACTGCTGCAAACCGCACTCGAGCAAAGCTTAGTCCTCATGCAAAGCAGAGTTTATGAACCCAGGCTGGAGAGCTGAGGTGCAAACACTCCTTTATGAGCTGCTGCTGCACATGTCTGCAGGCAGGAAGGAAACTTCCAGCACATATTTAATCACAGAGCAATACTTCTGGAGAGAGCTCTGCCTTGGACTTGCCTCGGGGCTCAGTTTTCACTCTGAGAAATGTTGGCTCTGGTGGTTTTATTTAAACTGATGCAAAGGCAATATCACTTCCTCAGATAAACAGATCACACTGCTCACAGCAGATTCCTGTAGCAGTGAGTTCCTCCACTTCACACTGCATAGCTTAGGTGACAAGGCAGAAAAGTAAGTACTTGAGTTCTTTGGGGCCCCAGTTGTTTTGCTGCTGGTAGCATCTGGTTTATATTTACTGGTTTCTGCTCCCAGGAGATCCACCAAGCACATTGTGTGTAACACCACTGCCTCCTATGAAGGCTTTGAGAAGGTCAAGGTGTCTGTGAGAGTGGACAAGGCCAAGATACACCAGGAGTTGCACTATGAATATGTAGAGGATCCAACCATCCTGAGGATTGAGCCTGAGTGGAGCATTTTCAGGTAAGCATCTCCTACCACCTCCTGTGGTTTCCTAACGCAGCACTGATGTGATATTGGTCCTTGGGGTAGAAAACTGCTTCCCAGGCATTGTGTTCACTGAGGATTGGTGCAGAGCTACTGCCTAGAGGCAAATGGGCTGGTGGACTTGTCTCCTGGGGAGCCTGAAAAGCCCAGTAGTGATTTGTGAGTGGTTCTAACACCTTGGGTTGCTCTAAGTGTGTCTGTGCTCATGTGTGCCCTGATTTCCACAGCTCCTAGTGAGGGATGGGTAAGCTCAGGGTCCTTTCTCCAGACAAACCCCAGGTAGTCCCAACCTAAATGCTCCTGTCCCCCACCTTCACTAGCAGAGCAAAGCTGCTTGGTTCAGTGCAGCTGGCAATGCTCACTAGAAGCCTTAGACACTCCATGACAAAGTTCAGCAAGTCTCCAACCTAGGGTTGAAGCTTTCTCTTTTCTGCAGTTCAGGCTTTTGTCTCCAGCACCAGGATGTTCCCTGAGGAACATTTACAGCCCACTGGGGCTGGTTAAACTATCTGTGTCCCTAAAAGCTGCAATTCCTAGTGCTCGTGGTCCTGTCTGTGCCTCAGGCCCCACTGGGCTGGATCCACAGCTTTGCCTGGCAGCAGGACCAGTCACTGCTCCTTCCATCAAGGCATAAAGGTCATAACTGTGCTCAGAGAAGTGAATGTCCCTTGGGTTTGTAAGCAGCAATCCCTACCTTCCCCACAGCCTTCATGGACTTGCAGTTCCTGTTTCCCACAGCCTTCATGGAGCTGCTGCCTTAGGACTTAGTGTTGCTAGATTTTTGCCTTGTTGTTCAGCTTGTTTTTCTTGAAAGCCTCAGGGCTCTGTCCCAGGATGAAACACAGAGTCCTGATGCCTGCCCCATCCAGCAGCCTTTCTCCTTGTTAGAGATTCCTTTTCCTCTGCACCCCATTGATGCTGCTCTGGTGAATTCAGAGGGTTCATATGAAGCTGTCTGACAGGAGCATTTGCCCTGGTTGTGGAAAGCATCAAAGTGCTACCCCAAGCTCTCAGAAGCCTTCAGGAATGGCCTCTGGGAAGAGAGAAATTTGCCATTAAATGCACAGATATTTCCTTGAAAAGATACAAACTAAGGAATCTAGGTCTCTCTCATTCATCCACAGCTCTCTGCTTCCCTGTCAGCCTGGACTGATGGAGCATCTGGGGATTAGGAGCAAAATCTCCCCCAGTTCAGTTGCCATCCCAAAGATGTTTTCACAAATCAATTAGTGCCTTTAATTACCACGAGGGAATTTACTGATTGAGCTGCACTGAGTCTTTGCACATTGGGTTTGAAGCTTTAGTGTTGGGATTTTCCATGTGGGGGTTTTCTTCTCAGGCAGTGTCCAGGTTATCAGTGAAATGAGAAACCACTTTCCTCCCTTCCTTATGAAACTGAGTTCAGTGCTGCTTAAAAGGTGCAAGATTGACTGCCTAGGAGAGAGAATTCCCTAACATCCCCAGGAAAGCTGCAGCACAGGGACCTTCCTCCATCTGCCTCAGGTCTGGCTGGGAGGGGAGAGGTTCTCCAGAGCCTATTTTTTCTGTGTTTTCTCTGCTGAAGTTGCCAGTAAGAGATGAACAAGCAGCCAAGGAGGTGCTTTAGGTGTATTGACAAAGCTTTGCCCAATCTGGAGGTGCAGGGACTGTGTTGCTTGAAGCCTTGGACAGCCCACCCCAGCTCCCAGCATAAAGGAGAGTAAGAAGAGATGCTTGTTTAGTGGATACCAATTTACCTGAGAGGTATGTAGCTGCTAGGATGGGTGACTGGGACTCCATCATTCTCTTCATTCATGGAATCATAGGATCAAAAAGGTTGGAAAAGAGCTCTAAGATCATTGAGTCCAACCATTAACTCACTGTGTTCACCACTAAGCCACATCCCCCCAAATGTCACATCCATCCACCTTTGGAACACTTCCAAGGATGATTTGAACACTTGCAGGGAGGAAACACTTTCAGGTACAACCTCTACCCTTTGCTTTCCTCAGTGTCTGGAATCAGAGAGCATCTCTGAGCACTGACAGGTGCCTCATTTTAACCAGACCTACCCACTGGCATCCTCTGTCTTGTGCACTTTGGGGTCACTCCTTGAGTGCATAACCTTGGAGGAGAGTGCAGAGAGAGAATAGTAGTAGATGTCCCAACCCTGGCAGTGTTTCATTCCAGGTTGGATGAAGCCTCGAGCAACCTGCTGTGGTGGGAGGTGTTGGGACTAGATGATCTCTAAGCTCCTAAGCCCCTAAAATTCTATGATCCTAAGATGGAATATCCAGGATTAATATGGTGCTTCAGGCTGTCAGGGACAGTTTTCAGCACTAACTGTGGAACTCCATCCAGCAGGTCATGATGGAGACAGGTATTAGAGTAAACTCTCCACACAGAGCTGTGTGACAGCACAGCCAAGTCCAGGGTGGAGAATGAAGCAAGAAACAAGTTAGACAAAGCATTTGGATGTGGAGACTGTTGCTCAGTGCATTTGTTATGCAGAGTGATTCATTACAGCAAATCCACTGTGCTTCTCAGGTTCCTCACTCCTGGCTGTGGGGCTAAGCTGTTCTGAGGGAGAGATGATTGCTACTAAACCAGCTTTGCAAAATCACTGACTACATGCACCAGGCTTGGCTTAAAACCTTTTCAAGTGCCATTTTTTTCGAGACAATAAAGAAAAGATTACTGCTAATTTACTCCTATAGCCAAAAAAAAAAAAAAAGTCACACTGGGCTGGCAGGTAACTGGAGTTTTCTGAGGCTTCATTAATACTTGGGATCTAGGTTTGATTGGAGTTATGTCCAGCAATTACCTGAGTCTGCAGGCAGACAATTAGACTCAGGGATTTGGGGGTAAGAAAGTGTTAAATTAAGATAGCTCTGGGCACCTCTGGTGTTTTGCTGGGCAGCAGGTGGTCTCCAGGCTCTGATCTGACCTGGTCGAGGAGTGGCTGTGACTGAGCAATGAAAAACACCAGGATGTACTTGATGTGGAAGTTTTAACAAACGTGTTTTGTAGTTATTTCTCCCCTTATGAATGAATGAAAACTTACCTGTTTGTTTTGCTCTTCCTTCCCTTCCTCTGGGACTGCAAGGTGTGGTCAGGTACTTTACCATCAACATTTAGGATCAGAGATCACTCATTGCTGGTGCAGGCAGTTCTGATATCTATTAGCTGAGTTCATTCTTTCCTTCCCTTTCTTCTTCTCTAGTGGCAACACACCCATTGCAGTGTGGGGAACTCACCTGGACCTCATCCAGAACCCTCAGATCCGGGCGAAGCATGGTGGGAAGGAGCATGTCAACGTGAGTGTACCTGCTGGGCTGGGGAGGGGGCATGGCCAAGGGGGTAATAGGGGGTGGCTAACAGCTCTGGAGGTTAAAATCTCCTGTTCCATCCCAAAAAAAAGGGCATGACTTGCTTCCAGAGACATTAGTTCATCCCTGAAGGAGTACTGGACCTAAGAGGGCAAGTACTGATGCTGACAAGCACAGGAGCTGAGCTCCCTTAAGAGGGAGATGCCCAATTGAAGTGCAAACTGCTCCACACCCCTCAGAAAACCTTTCCTAATCCCTCCCCAGTCTTGACTGTGTGCTGGGTGTGGAGTGTGTTTTGAAGCAGTGGAGAACCAGTTGTCCCACAGCAACCAAGGTCTGCTACTCCCTGTCCCCCAGCAGTAGTTAGGGCAGCATGTCCCTGGGAGCTGTCAGCCCATCAGGAGGGATGGAGTCACTTCCCATGAACACTCCTCATGTTGGTTTCTCTCCTCAGAACTGTGAGGTGCAGAACAGCACAGAGATGACCTGCCAGGCTCCAGCACTGGCTGTTGACCCCAATCACCAGTCTGAGCTCGCTGAGCGTCCTGAGGAGTTTGGCTTCATTCTTGACAACGTGCAGTCCCTGCTGATCCTCAACAAAACCAACTTCACCTACTACCCCAACCCTATCTTCGAGGTTTTCAATCCCTCAGGGATCCTGGAGCTGAAGCCAGGAAGTCCCATCATACTGAAGGTGAGGTGGGGCCCAAGGACTGGATGGGGAAGGACAAACACATGTTGCCTGTTGCCTCTCTGTGCCTTTCAGCACCTCGTAAATCATGGTTGCATCCTGACTGCATCCCCACTTCCCTCACTCCTTGCATCTACCATACCAAATCACATCAGAGTCACAATCTGCACACATCAACCACTGCCAACACCCATAACTCAACCCCCAAAACTCTTGCTTGAGCTACCTGTGTGCAGCCTAAATTTGAACCCACTGTTCACCAGAGAATGTTTGCTACCACTGACACATGGCTGACCATGAAATACCCAACTCTACATCTTTCTTGGCCTTTCAAGACCTTCCTCTCATCCCTGTTTAAACCCAAACCATTCCTTTGTTGTTCCTGTAATCTGCACAGCAAGACAAAGAGGGAATTTGATGGGGAGGCACTTCTGGATCAGCCCTTTATGTGGTGTTTCTGGAAAGAAGTGGTTGTGCCTGCAGAATCCTTCTTGCATGTTTGGGAAGGGATTAGCCTTGCTTGCCTATTTTTTTGGGGGGCTTGTTTGGACAAAAGTTATGTACATTAAGTTCCAATGAGAGAGGAGCAGGACAGGCTGTTCAGGCTGGTTCGAGTCTGGAGCCACCCATGCTGTCCTCTGTATGACTTTCTACATGGGTTTTTCCTCTTTGTAGTAGCAAATGATGAACTACAACTATCATAGAATCCCAGACTGGTTTGGGTCCAAAGGACCTTAAAGACCATCCAGTTCCCACCCCCTGCTATGGGCAGGGACACCTCCCACCAGCCCAGGCTGCTCCAAGCCCCATCCAACCTGGCCTGGAACACTCCCAGGGATGGAGCAGCCACAGTTACTGATCAGACTTGATGATCTTAGAGGTCTCCTCCAACCTTGATGATTCTCTGATTGTCAAGTGCAATGCCAACACTTGTGTCACAGGAATGAACTAGAGGTGGAAGGCAAACTTTTCCTGATGTTTGGGTTTTTTTTTGGGGGTGATATTCCTTTCTCTCCAGGGCAAGAACCTGATCCCACCAGTGGCAGGAGGGAATGCCAAGCTGAACTACACTGTTCTGGTTGGTGAGAAACCCTGTGCTGTGACTGTATCAGATGTGCAGCTGCTGTGTGAGTCCCCAAACCTCACTGGAAGGCACAAGGTGATGGTAAGTGGTGCTTGAACCTCAGCCTCTATTCCCTGGGTGGCTTGGGAGGACATACCAATGCTGAAGAGCTGACAGAGGTCTCCAAGGTGTTTGCATCATCATTTGCCATCAGAGTAACATCAGGACCCCTTTTTTAATAGAGTATCTTCATGAGGGGTAACTTGGAGAAGGTGAAGAGTAGAACAGTGACCTGGAGATCTTTATGGACACAATCAAAACCTTTTAGGGAAGTTTGCCTCTCTTCTGATTTTGTATGGACTGTAGGAACCCTTGATGCTCATGTGAGTTCATGTATAGAATATGTTCCCTCCGTGACAGACTTGGTTAAATCCAGCACATTCCCCAGCAGTTACTGCCATGTTGGTGCCAGTGATTGTAGAAGAGGAGGAAAATGCAGGATATGGTTGATAGTGTGATGGACTTGGAGGTTTGACATCTACAAAACTTCATGTGCTCCTGCATATCCTTCCTGGAACCTGTGAAGAATGGGCCTAGCGATTACATCAGAAGTGATGCCGAGAAAAGGCTGGAAA